GACCTATGGAAATGACTCACTTAAAGCGCAAGTCACCCCCTACCTGAATCTTACTCTACTCCCACTTCCTGTTTGAAAAGTGCAACAAATGCTGTTGCCTGGCAGACTGAGAGGGTGGAGCTGCTAACATACACACACACACAGGCTCACAATGACATTATGACATCATATGATACCAGCTAATACTGTACCTCTTAGCCAATAGCGATAACAGATTTAAATTAAAATGCAGTCAGAGTTTTGCCTGAAGGGGGTGCAACACTGACAGTTTTATGCAGAATATTTAAATTATGACAAAGATGCACTAATGTCACAGTTTCAAATAAAATCCATCTGTCTATGGACTGTTTCAAACCAGCAGAGACGCGGTAATTTCCAGGCGTGTCCCAGAAGCCGTAAGCCATGCCGCACCGCTAAAGATAGGATCGGGTTCTATTTTTGCTGCAAGCCGCTTCCAGGACACATCCATTTCTGCAGTTAATATATGGCTTGACAGGAAATCACACACTGTTTCAGTGTAAAATCCCTGGTAATTTTCTAAATACATGTACTGCAGCGATGCAATTTCATAAATATGAAGCTTACCTGTGACCCAATGGCTTATTTAGTCCCAGTATTGTTCCAGAAGTGCAGCTGTGTATTTTTCTTGCCTTAATTCCTGGCGGTGGAGAGGAACAACATCCTTTATGACATCAAACGGTGATAACAACGTGATTTACTTCTTTTTGGTTTAATGGTGGATTGTGGGGCAACAGTGGCGCAGGAGTTAAGTGCTCGCCCCGTGATCGGAAGGTTGCAGGTTCGAGCCCCACTCAGTCTGTCTCTGCCATTGTGTTCTTGGGCAAGGGTTGCCTGCTGGTGGTGGTCGGAGGGACTGGTGGCGCCAGTGCTCGGCAGCCTCATCTCTGTCAGTGCGCCCCAGGGCAGCTGTGGCTACATCGTAGCTCATCCCCATCAGTGTGTGTGAATGGATGAATGATACACTGTAGTGTAAAGCGCTTTGGAGTCCTTACTCTGAAAGGTGCTATACAAGTGCAGGTCATTTATAATTTATTTATCATTTATCATCAATTTCAGTTGCACTTTCTGCTTGTTTGAGAAAATAAATGAAGCTGTAAGAAGCTATATTTCTGGAATTTATTTATTATCATTGTCATTAAATTGAAGTTGGACAGATGACTTGAAAATTCAACATTAAGGACTTGACTTGACTTGGACTTCCAGATCACTGACTTTGGACTCGACTTGGACTTGATTGTCTTTGAACTGGACTTGACTCGAGACTTTACTGGAAAGACTTGTGACTTACTTTTGAGTCGCAAAGCAGTGACTTGGTCACACCTCTGTTTAAAGAGCAAGTCACCCCTTACAAGAAGCGTACTTCACTCCCACTTCATGTTTGAAAAATGCAACAAATGCTGTTGCCTAGCAGACGGAGAGGGTGGAGCCACTAACAAATACACACACTCACGGCATTGTGACATCATAATGTACCAGTTTACATCATAGCATACCTCTTAGCCAATGGCGATGTCAGATTTAAATTCAAATGCAGTGAAGAGTTTTTACCTGACAACAGTACAACACTGACAGTTTCAGGCAGAAATTTTAAATTTTAACTAAAATGCACTAAAGTGCAAAACTATTGAGTACACGTGTCTGCAGCACGATTAGACACGCATTTATATAGTTTATCAGAAAGAAATAGTTTATTTGGAGGTGACTTGCTCTTTAAGTGTGTTGGCCAAGGACACAACGACAGCAGCAAACTGAGCGGGGCTCAAACCTGCAACCTTCCGATTACGGGTGCGAGCACTTGACTCCTGTGCCACCGTCGCCCCATTATTTAAGTCTTCACATAGTACAGACAAAATGCTGATAAGAAACCAAACACAATTTTCACCAGTAGGCCAAGTTGCTTCCCACTAATGTGTGTTCACAACCAATGTCTCAGCAATTGTCCTTTGCCTCTAGCTGGCTAAACATACACACAAGCTCCCTGAACCGTAAAGCCATCTGGGTTCATCTGATCCATATCAAAATGACCCAATCTGATGCTGTTTACACAGATGTACTTGGGTCCTGTTCAGATGCAGAACCCAAACAACATGTCTGGGTCATTTCACAGAAAAAAACACAGCGGGGCTCACAGGGCTGCAGATGTCAGGTTAGGTCTGGAGGGTCAGGCATTCAAACCCACACTCCCTGGGAAACTTTTAAAAATAAAAATGTGAGGCATTTCATGTGGATCAGGGGAGCTTATTTCCTAGTGATTGCTGGGATAAGAAAGTAAAAGAGCATGAAAAAAAGAACGGTTTTATACAAAAATGCTTCAAGATGTTTTAATTGGAATGGAAAATCCATCAACAACTGACAGTACTTAGATCTTTTTTCATAAAATATAATTATCACACCTAAGATGTGCATATTTTGATGCAGCATTTCAGTGCAGTGATCACACATGTTTCAGAAAAGCAAATTTACACAAACAATAAAAAATAACAATACATCAAATCAAAGATCTGGAGCCAAGATCAGCAGACAGATGTCTTCATGTTCAATAAGTTTATGCTTTCATACACTATTTCATTTATAATAAAACAAACAAACAAACAATAGGCCAAAAATGATGCTTCCACAACAACAACAACAACAACAACAGTTTTCATATGAAAACTGAAAATATCCTATTTTACATTTAGTGTACACACCCCACTGGCATTTATAACAAAATAAGTCAGACAGCCATCAGTACATGTTCTTCTGCAGCACAGCTCTACATGCAAAGTGACCGAAACCAGATGAGAATACTATCTGTGTTTAAATGGATTCAGACCCACACTGTCTGGATGTGCATGCTCTGTGGGTGCTGTTCGACTGCAGCTGCATGCCATTAAAATATTGATGGAAATAAGTGTTTTTGGAGCTTGTAATTCAACTGGAACATTTAAAAGTAACCTGTTAGTGAAGTCTTCATAACACTTCTGCTTTGCAAAAGGTTTCAGTCCAATAAAACAGCCAAAAGATGCTGTTAAATGCTCAGTTTACTGGATTTTTTTGCTGCAGACTGGTGACTCACTCAGCTGGCAGTGGAGCGGCAGTGACATTAATGGTTCGGGTGTAGGGAGGGCCAAGAAGAGAAGTTTAATGTTTGACTGTTCGATCAATTGAGTTTAGGTGCGTCCTTTATGCTGTCTGCGTCATCAGGATTTGTGTCACTTTTACCTCCTCTGCCTTCCTTGGAGGCAGCTTTTATTCTGCACTTATGTGTTTTTCTGTTTGATTTTGTGCCCTTGATGCCTGTCTGTCTCTCAGCTCTTTGTGCAAAAGTGCCTCTCTCTGTGTTTACACAAGCCCCTGCTGTGTGTCTACTTTGTGCAAATCATCCCTACTTTGCTGGCACTGCAAAAGCATGTCATGTGTGTCCAGTAAATCCAGACACACACGACGCGTGCTGCTGTCTGACTCAAAAGACATCAGTCATCTGCTGTCATCCAAGAGAAAAGAGACGGGAATGCTGGCGGAGTGACAGCTGCTGGAATGACACAAAAAACTGGCTTGCTGGTTTTTGCTAACAGACTAATCTGAAAATAACACAGATGATTATGTACAAAATGCATTCAAAGATATGTTTTACTTCAGGTTATGTCAGTTTTGAAGTCTACCTTGGTGTTTCTCAATTACTGTCACTGATTATTTTAATTGCATAACACAAACACTCCAAGTCCCGATTCTGACATTGTAAAATAATGCAAAAGTGAGGAAAATTTTCCAAATAAATCCCCCAGTCAGGAGCTACTCAATAAATCAGCAATTTCTAGAAACGTCCATGCTTGCAGCATAAAGTCAGAAGGAGTCGGAGTTGGACAATAAAAGAAAGAACACAGCACTCTTTACAAACGTGTCTCAAAGTGACCATTTCAAACTAAAATATATCATGTATAAACCAGTTGATTATAAGTATACATGCATGTTATGTGCATGTCCGTGCAAGCAGAAGGATGCAAGGTAATGTGCCTGTTAATGTTGATATTTGTATTTAACTTGGTTTTGCAGATTTTCTCTGGTGGGTTTGGTAGATGAACTTGTGGTCTGAGTAAAACGTGTCAATGAATGGTGTAAACTGTGTTTTGACTTTGGAATTTTGATATAAAGTACAAAGGATAGGCAGTAATAATTATGTGATTGACAAAAATCTTCTTGAAATTTTGTTAGAATAGCAAAGAAAATTCCAATGAGGTAATAAAGTATACATTAGTTAAAGCATCGTGGTTATTTAAATTTGACAGGATGCAGAAAGAAGCAAAACTAGATGGAGGCATTTAAAAACAAAGCTGTAACGTAAACCTGCGGATAACAAAAAGCAAAGGATATAGAAATAATCAGATGAGTTCAAGATTGGACAGACGGTGACTCAGTATCTGTTCCATCTAACACTTCATCGTATCCTCCAGATGGGCAAAATAGAAGATGAAAGGTCAGAACGGTTAGTTTTTGTAAATGTTAATAATTTAGCTCAGAAAATATCTAATTCTCCTCTCTATGTTTGCTTTATCCAACGTTGAGGGGTTGTATTTATAATCAGTTTGAAATCTTGAAAATATTATTTTAAATGTTGCTAATATGACATAAATAAAAATAGGAATAATTCCAACAAAATGTGGTTTCTGAGTTAAATTGAGCTTTCCCCACCAGCGATCTTATTGTTGTCTTTTGTCGCCCTCTGGTGGATAACTTCCTTAACAGCAAGTCGTCTTATTATTGGCGTATTTTGCGATGTGCTTGTTTCTGATTGGCTCTTAAAATGTAAACCACCCTTAAAAATCCTCCGTCCAGAAACAAGCACTGACAAATATATTTTTCAACCTGAATAAACTACACATTGAACCCAGATGACTGTTTTTATTGGAATATTTTTATTGATTCAAAATTTAAATAATTTAGTCATGTCTAATTTAGAAATTGCTACTGAGAACTTGTGAAATGTGCCACTATTGTCTAGGCAATTGTGTTTCATTTCGGAGTACAAAAGCGGAAGTACCGTCCCAGATTGTGTTATGAGAGTTACTTCCCGAGGCTGTATAACAAAATGAGCTTTAAAGCGTTTTTAGGTGCAACATTAGCCGTCCTGGCGGCGAATTGGTGTCTGGTTTGTTGCGATATAACCGATGGAAACTCCGAACATCTGAAAAGAGAGCATTCGTTGATGAAACCGTACCAAGGTATGAAAGCAAACCGGATATTCAGACTGTTTTCTGCTATCACCGATTTTAGAAGTTATCCAGTGACTTCTGCAGCACTAACATTCCCTAATCTTTACAAATATTTTAAACAAGTTATACCCGTTAGGTCTGTCTGAAGTAAAATTGACCATATTGACACAAAAACGTCTAAAGCTAACCCACTAGCAGCGTGCTTTACGGTTTAGGCACACCTTCGCTTTGAGAAGTTTTTGCGACGTCACAGCATTGCTTAACGGTGATACTTAAAATTCTTAACACAGTTAAGTTTGTTTCTTTATTACATTATTGTCTATCCGGTCCGTTGCATGTAGCTCTCTGGTTCGAATTCAAAGTTTGGACGCAGTCTGTGGCCAGTCCAGGTGTAGCTTTTTTTTTTTTTACAACTATTTGTTTCTTACTGAGATCTCTCAGTGAGCTCAGGGCCTTTTGAAATGATTTGTATTTTGGCCGCAGTGTAAGGAAAAAAATTATTCAGATAAACTGAATACTTGTAATAATTTGGCTAGTGGTAATAATCATGTTTGATTTATGGCTACACTCAGGAACAGTTCATCAGATCAGGTGCAGATGTCATTTATTGTAATCTAAGCAGGTCTCTGCAGGTGATTTTGTGCTGAATTATGTGGGAATTATAATATTGTTGCACTATATTGTGCAGCTTTGAACAGTGGCAGTTTGAACTAAAGTTTAGGTGTTGGGATACCTGCAAAGTAAAGCGTTGTTATTCCCAACACCCACCCACAACTAAAATCTTTTAAAAAGCATATTAGTCTAGAGCCCACACGCTATTGTAACAACAATAAGCCCACTCATTGAACTTATTAAATCATTGCCTTTTAACATTGTTAAATATTTTTGCTGTTTAAATATCATGCAGCCCCCACAGCCCAGCAATTCAATGCAGTTAAAAATGTCAGTTCCTTTTTGATAATTATTATATTTTAAATTTACACGTGCATCTATTTTCTCCTGTCTGATCCTTGACTGTGATCTGTCATCTTATTCTAACTCTGTTTGCTAAGCAGTTTTGTAGCATTGCCAAGCACAGATTTGGGCCTGATTGGTGTTTTCATGCGTTTGTGATACAGGTGTTGGCAGTCAGTGGGACTTTGGAGGAAGCACGTTGGTGACCAGTTCATATGTCCGTCTGACTCCAGATGAGAGAAGCAAGGAGGGATCTATCTGGAATACTGTGGTGAGAAGATCTTACTGTGTGCTACTCTGTAAAAGTATCACCTAGTCAGCCTCATCATTGGACCACTCCAGTTTTATGGTTTTAGATTATCTATTTACAATGTTAAATTTAAAGTAAATAAAACAAACCAAGCTACCAAATGAATAAAGAAAGTCAAGTGTTTTGGCCTTACTATTAATACAGCATCACAAATGCCCTCCTTACATGTAAATCCTTCATCTACATTTTTTGAACCAACAGTCTTGATGCCTTTTCTTTGTTAAACTGGTTGTTTTGAAACTTTGAACATGTTTCCTGTGTTTTACCACTTATTTCTGCATTTTGCCAAGCTCTTCAACATGTTGGAATTGAAGCTTCGAACCCTTAGGGTAAAGCTTTTTAGCTTTGACTGCTAAAGGTTTAACGGAGTGTGACAGAGTGTAAAGTGTGAATCTAGTGTCTGATTCACGGTAAAATAGACGAGCGTTGAACCCATGGAAATGTAGGCTGGGTATTGCTGAAAATGACATGTTCTTTGTGTTTTCATGTGATCCATTTGCAGCCTTGTTACCTGAAGGACTGGGAGATGCATGTCCAGTTTAAAGTTCACGGTTTGGGTAAAAAGAGCCTCAACGGTGACGGCATCGCTATCTGGTACACAAGGGAGAGGCTGCATCCAGGTAGCCTCATTGTTGCTGAGGTCTTTTGTGGTAGACGTTCACCATTTTTCTTTTTGTTGCATACAACTTCGGGTTTACAAGAAATGAAGCAAAATTAACTGAACCTCCTGCTTTTTAAAGACTTAAGTTCACAGACAGACCGTTTTTTACCTGCTGTTATTTAAATATGATTGCTCACTGAATTTCACATGCAGGATAAATGTGAAAATGGTCTTCTACCCCTATTTCCTGCCTTATCCACTTTTCGAAAATAGACCAGACAATTTTACATCACATTGGAAAAATAACATTCATGGACTCGCCCATCTTGATTCACGACAGGGAAGGCTGGCCGGGATAGGGCAAAGAATGTCTCGGCTAGTGCAAGCTAACCGTTAACATCGGCAACTCCACCACACAGCAGAACTCCTCCAGGCTTGTGCTTTTTGTGAAGATGTTGCAAAGCAAGCCGAGTCAGTGGTGGAGTCGCATTGGTGTTAGCCAATCAGAGGGGAGATGTCTGAATATCAGGAAATAACACTCCAAATCCCGTCATGTTCTGCTTCCCTCTGCTCTGGCTCACTTCTGCTTCCTGAAACGGGAGCGTGAGAGCTTCTCCCTCACAAAGATCGACTCACAAGGCATTCGTTTATAATGGAAACCACTGCTGAAGTGTTGAAAAAACGAGTGAACTTGGTCTTTAAGTAGTTGTTGCTGTAAGAGACTTTCACAATAATAAATACCGTATTATGATTAATTAATGCAAACATAAAACAAACTGTAGCTTAGATGTCAGTCCAGATAAGTTCTAGTCATGTAGGCATCCATCTTTGTTCTCCTGTCATTGTTTCATCAAACCCAGATGTTTCTGTCAATCATCGCATCATCCTTTCATCACTGTAGTCTACAGGAAGCGTCTCTGGTTGTCTGCTCATGTCTTGCCTCATCTCTGCCTCCATCTTTAGGCCCTGTGTTTGGAAACCAAGATCAGTTTGTTGGCCTGGCTATTTTTTTGGATACCTTTCGCAATGACCTCCATGGGATGGATGTAAGTGTTGGTTGTGTTGCTCCAGGGTATTGACCGCCTTGTTTCTTTGCAGGGCCTGTGTTTTCCAACAATGCTCACTTCCACGGGCTGGCTGTTTTTGTAGATACTTACTCTAATGATGAGACGATGGATGTGAGTGGGGGCTCGGCTTTCTCTCGTCAGCATGCTGTCTCAGTGTTTCAGGTCGTCGCTGTAAAACGGCATGTTGTCAGAACTAAGAGCATGTTCGTGTCTGAGCACCGTGCAATCTGTGGGGTGCTATTTTACTCATTTGGAGTAAAAGTCAAGTAGGGTGTATATCTATTACTAATAAGCAGGGTGCTCATCTTGAGTTATATTTATGTAAACTCATGTCTGTTTAATAGTTTAAGAGCAGTTTTTTCCAAAAGTTAGACACCTTTGTGTTGCAGCTAAAGTTTTTTGTGCTGTTTTTTTTCTACATTTGCTGCTTTTTAATTTGCAAATTCTGGAATTTAAAGTTACATGCAGCTAAATTATATTTGCAGCTTGTTTTCATTTTGATGTCAGTGTTTTCAGTTCCATTTTCGCATGTTTTTCATATTAAAGTGATTCTCAAATTACCTCAGGTGTTTCCTTTCCTCAGATCCTGTTTAGTTTCTCATTACGCTTCCGTCTGTGCAGTTCCTTTGTTTCAGTCATGATTTCTTGTCTCTCCAGCGTTCTTTCCCTTACATTTCGGCCATGGTGAACAACGGCTCTGTGAGTTATGATCACGGGAAAGATGGTCGCTCGTCGGAGCTGGGAGGCTGCTCGGCCGACATCAGAAACAGAAACCACGACACGTACCTCGCCATTCGCTACTCTAAGGGCAGACTGACTGTAAGGAGAGACACCTTTCCTTTTCATTGTTGTAATGGTTTTATTATTATTGTTCTGAGGTGAAGGAGAGTTGGTCTTGGGGTTCTCAGACTGGTCAAACTCTCAGAAGCTCAGCTTTTTGATAATTTGTAAATAAACAACTTAGTTTAAACAGAGAAGATTAAAAAATATCCATTTAATGAAGTTGAATTTCAGTTTCAGCAGATTAATTCAGCTTTTGGATTAAAATGTGAAGAACTTCGATTTACCTGAATAAAGAATGTCGTCTTTCAGTTGTAAGGTTTAAAAACACAAAGAAATTCAAGGGATTTAAAATTGGGTGAATTTTTTTATATTAGCTAAACCAAAATGTATAATAAATTAGTTTGGGGTTTAAATAAATCAATGAATTTATGGAAATCTAAGCTCACTTGATCATCATCATTACATATAAACCCACTTTAACTGCTCACATGGTTCTGGGAGAACTTTGGTCCACTTCTGATCATTTTATCATATCAAAGTTAAATGTAACCTGTTTTTTTCTGAGTTTGTGTTAACTTATTGTGAAAAATATCCGAGAACCTAATTATTTGTAAAACTTTACCTGATCAGATGTGTAAAGGTATAAAAGGTTGTTCTTTTTATTTTAATTAACATCAATATTTAAAAAAAAAAAAAAAGAGGCTGAGCTCGTGAGACCAGTGGACCATTTTCCCTGAAACCAATGTTGTCCCTTATCTTGTGCATGGCAGGTCATGATCGACGTGGACGACAGGAACGAGTGGAAGGAGTGCATCGACATCGGAGGAGTTCGTCTTCCTACCGGATATTTCTTTGGTGCATCTGCAGCAACAGGAGATCTCTCAGGTCGGTCACCGCTGAATCATTTTAAACACGTGTAATAGCAAAGACAGACGTTTTAATGTCAGGTGTTTTACTTATTATCTAACTGTTTGTTTATATTTGACTCCAGACAACCATGACATCATCTCCATGAAGCTCTACCAGCTGATGGTGGAACACACACCTGAAGAGGAGAACCTGGACTGGACTAAAATTGAGCCCAGTGTCAGTCTTCTGAAGTCTCCCAAAGGTAGTCAAGTTCCAGAAAATGTGTTGTTGTTTTTTTTTTTGTTCAATGTAAGTAAAAAAAAATAATAATAATAATTAAAAGTCAGACCGGTCGATCCACGTTCCTACCCTCATCTATGGTTACGAGCTTTGGGTAGTGACCGAAAGAACGAGATTGCGGATAAAAGCGGGCAAAATGAGTTTTCTCCACAGGGTCTCTGAGCTGTCCCTTAGAGACAGGGTGAGAAGCTCGGTCATTTGGGAGGGGCTCAGAGTAGACCTGCTGCTCCTCCACATCGAGAGGAGCCAGTTGAGGTGGCTCAGGAATCTAGTTGGGATGCTTTCTGGACGCCTCCCTGGTGAGGTTTTCTGGACACATTAAACCGAGAGAAGACCTAAAGGAAGACCCAGGACACGCTGGAGAGACTTTGTCTCACGGCTGGTCTGGGAATGCCTTAGATTTTCCCCGGAGGAGCTGGTCCAAGTGGCTGGGGAGTGGGAAGTGTGGGCCTTCCTGCTTAGGCTGCTGACCCTGCCACCCGACCTCAGAAGCATCTGACAACTGGTGGATAGAAAAATGACTAAAAGAGCTTGAAATGGTAAAAAGATGTAAAGGTGATGGGATTTTATCGTAGGATTTAGCATTAAAGTTTTAGAGCTTAGAGTAAGACAACAAAAACATCCATCAAACAATTACTAAATACTTGCTTCATTCAGACAACAAATGATCTCCTTCACCCTTCCACAGACAACATTGACGATCCGACGGGAAACTTCCGGGGAACGCCGCTCACTGGATGGAAAGTCTTCCTGCTGCTGCTGTGCGCTCTGCTGGGAATTGTGGTGTGTGCCGTGGTGGGAGCTGTGGTGTTCCAGAAGAGACAGGAGAGAAACAAGAGGTTCTACTGAGCCAAGAGCAGAACCTGATCACAGGGGTGGTAGCTGTGAGCCAAACTGTTTCTGCACAACAGAATGAGCACATTCAATGTGAACTTTTCTCTGAGGATTGTACGAATGTTAAACTTCTGAAGCGCTGCGCTGTGAGCTGAGAGGAAGCAGGTTCCTGTGACATTACTGACCCTAAATACAGTTGTTTCCTTATTTGTTTGTTTTTGTTGAGTCCCTGCAGGGTCAAAATGGAAAAGTAGTCATTTACAAATCTGGAACTGGGTTGTGTTTCCAGCAGCTGTAAAAAAGTTACCTTTAGTTTTTGTCTTCCGGCCTGCCTCAGAACAACCACTCGTAAAGAAAAACCATAAATGTTCAACTAAAGCCATCAATCACATGAAAGCAGAGTTTTTATCATCTGTCTGACTCCCAAAAGGACTGCAGAGTTATTTCTGTGTTATTGCCATTTTTATTTACATTCACGTCATCTCTGAAGTTCACATACATTTGTCTTTGTGAAAGAACAAAACTGAGGTGAAGTTATGTTGCTGTATGAGGAAAATTATGTTCTGGTTCATTTTAGTGGAGAGGCAGTGCAATTTTTGTTTTGAGACTCAAGAATGACTTTTAGTTTTCTGTTTTGTACAAAAACAAATCTTCACATGTGGGACTGGAACAAACAACTAATCACTTTGTTAGATCCAGAATAATTGATCACATCTAGTAGTTCATATGAGATAATTGCCATTCTGCATAAATGTAAGGTGCAGTGAAGATCCAGTTTAATACAATAGTTTTTATAGAACTGATCATTAGATAAAAGCATCAAATGATGAACCAGCTCATCACATCTTCAAAACTTAAACCAGCCGGGGTCAAAAGCTTTTGAGGTGTTTGAATGAGTGGTGGAATTTTGTGTTGATTTATTTGCTGAATTTTTGAATTTGTTATTTAGGTGCATCAGTATTTGTTTTGATCCGCTTCTTTACAAAACCTTTAATCGTTTCTAATTTACCAGTGTAAAGAAACATTGGATCACTAAAGATAATAGAAAGCTACTCTGGTTTCTGTTGGTAAATAATGTGGGGTAATCTCAGAGACTGAAGTCTTGCTGCAGGTCTTTTGATTTTTATGCAGAAAATAGAAAAAGTAAAATTTTCTTTTTTTTTGTGGAAGAATCATTCTTTACATTGTCAGAGCTGCAGTCTTTACTGTGATAGTTTTTGCTGAAACGCTCAGTAAAAACTAAATGACTCGTTAACAGCCAGGACGTGAAATGCCACCAGTGTTAATTATGAAGTTCATCACCTCAGATCCAGACACAGATCATTTAAAGGAGCATTTACACAGACTCCTATGTAATGGGGTCATAAACTCGTTCCTCCTTTTACGCTGACTAAAGTCCTTCTCCAAACATCAGAAGGTAAGTTGGGGGTTTTATGTTTGCTGAAGCTCATTTGGGTTTTTTTCTGTTTTGTTTTTTGACTTGAAATGTTTTCTGTTTCCTTTGTTCTGGAAGCTTCTTGTTTCCATCCTTTTTGTGAGGAAACCTGAAGCAGCTTCTCGTCAGAAATAAACAAACAGGCTACTTTATTGTGTGTGTGTTCCAGTGTGTCAAATTGGGATGATTCAAAACCCTAAAGTTTCCTCAACCAATAAGTTACATTCGGGAATGTTCAAGCAGTAAAAATAAGAGTATTTGAAAATGGTGCAAAAGTCCATGTCAGTAACCAACTTAGACTGAGAGACCATCTAAAGTAGGGGTTATCAACCTAGTGCCCATGGAACAGAAATGCTGCCATCTTTTTAATTACAGATGCATTAATAAATATTTAAAAACAAATTGTTTATCATAGATGAAGTTTAATTTAACTGATCTATTCCAGTTCAAAGGCCAGTATTGTAGCAACCTGCTAGCCCTTCGTAAATCTCAGGACCTATAAAGTAGCTCCCAGTTTCACAAAGGTTGGTGACACTTGCTCTAAAGGCTCGGGAGCCTTTTGCAGGTGTTCTGGATTCATTAGCTGATTAGAGTGTGACACTTTGAGTCTAGAATATTGAACCTTTTCACATTATTCTAATAGTCTGAGATTTTGAATGTGTTGTTTTCATCATCTAGCCATAAACATCAGTTATAACAAATAAAAGCTTGGAATATATGACTTTGTATGGAATGGGTCTATCTCATGTATTAGTTTAACCTTTTGGGTTAAATTACTGAATTAAACATTTGCACCATATTCTAAATTTCCCAGGTTTACCTGTATGTGGTTCCCTTCCAGAAAAAAATAATTTAAGACATACTTTTCAAAATAAAACTCACAAGGCAGTTTATTGTTACTTAGAGCCAACAGTGCAGCAGCAGAATCAGACAATAATGTGAGATGGTCTATGCTCCACTACCCACCTTCTCACCCACAAAATAGCCAAAAGCTCAACAGAAAAAACAGACAAATTATCCGTCACACGAACACTTGATCTAACATGCGGCTTGACAATATGAACCCCAAAACTAGCTCTATGAAATGTAATTTCTTTAGATCCATCAGTATAAATCTGGACAGCATCCTTTTGCTCGCTTAAATACATTTCTAACAGTCTAATAGCAACTGCTTTTTTCAATCCTAGTAAGTCCAAAAACAACGTCCGGCTCAGGTAATTGCCAAAACGGCACTAACCCCACCACCATATCCTTCTGTAGACTTAGGAGATGTACTAGTTTTACAACATGATTTAGGAAAGTATCCTCATCCTGAACCCCGCTGGATCCCCAACAATCAACGAGGAGACATTTAGACGCCAAGCTGCCACCAAACCCGGCCAGTATAGTCCAATAATGAACCACTAGTTTTTCCCTCCTCATTTTCAAAGGGTCCTCCCCCATTTCAACCAGCAATGCTGGAATTGATGTAGATCTAAATGCTCCGCTACAGATTCTAAGGGCTTTAGACTTCACATAATCCAGTTTACACAACACAAATTTAGAAGCTTTCCCAAAAACCACACATCCATAATCCAAAACAGGCCTAATCATTGCCCTATAGATCAACTGTAAAGTACTCCTCTCCGCTCCCCAGCTACAACCTGACAAACTCCTCATGACATGAATTACCTTTTCACATTTGCTAACTAACCGTTCTATATGTGTTTTCCAGAGCAATTTCTCGTCGAACCACAAACCCAAAAATATAAAAGCTTTAACCTTTTCAATCACAGAGCCATATATATGAATATTTATAGACGGGACTTTCCTTTTTAAGCCAAAGTTCATATATTTACTCTTTACTATAGATAACTCCCCAGGTATTTGCCCACTGCACAATTTGATTTAAAGCCTTCTGAGTCTGAGAAAACAAATGCTCAAAATTCCTCCCACATCTCCAGATGGCACCGTCATCAGCAAATAGAGATTTACCAAACCCATCATCAACTTTTTCAAAAATATTATTAATCCTTACATTAAACAAAACTGGACTTAAAACTGCCCCTTGCGGAGTACCGTTTTCCACCACTGCAGATTCTGACAAAACATTTCCTACACTCACCTGAATTGATCTATCATTAAGAAAACTTTTAATCCAATGAAACATCCTACCATGAACTCCAGCATCATAAAACTTAAGAAGTAAACCCTCTCCACAAACTATCATAAGCCTTTTCAATATCTACAAACACAGCAATAACAGTTTGTCTATTTATTATAGCTCTCCTAACATCCTTGTCTAAAACTACTACTGAATCCAACGTACTCCTCCCACCTCTAAATCCATTCTGATAATTAACAAAAAACCCACTCTTTTCTAAAAAGTATATCAGTCTATTAGACACCATCCTCTCCATCACCTTACACAGCACAGATGTCAAAGCTATTGGCCTGTAAGATGACCCAGAAGAGGGATCCTTTCCTGACTTCACAAAAGGGACAACAATAGCATGCTTCCAGGATTTTGGCAAGACTCCTTCCTCCCAGACATAATTAAATAGCGCCAAAATTTCACACATTGTTTCATCATCAAGATGTTGAAGCAACTTATATCAAATCCCACCCTGCCCTGGCGTAATATTAGCACCTGCCTTAATAGCATCCTTCAACTCCTTGCAGGAAAAAAACCCAGTTATACTCATTTTCCGTTCCTGCTGCTCCTGCCAATTTAAAAACATTTTCTGACAACGTAACCTCTCAGAACTTTAGCACTTCTTCACCCAAGAACTCTGAGATATGAGCATCCTGAAAAACCTCAACACACCTGTCCGCTTTCTCTTTGCTATTAATAGCTATCCTCTGCCCTTCACTAAGAACTGGCATTGCTGAACTCACAAATTTACCAGACATACGATGAATCCTCCTCCACAACTGTTGAACAGGAGTCTCTGGACCCAGAGTACTACAAAACTTTCTCCAGCGCTTTTTCTTTTCTGCCTATATAGTTCTTCTTGCCATGGCCTTACATCTCTTAAAATCAATAAAAATTCAGATGTTTCCTCATGTAACCACAAGATGAGGCTGTTGTGTTGCTTTGCATCATCTGTTAGATTTAAAACTCCTACTAGTTGTGTGTGTGTGTGTGTGTACCGGTCTATATGTCAAAGGGAGGACCAAACTGCGTTATTTTATCTACAAACTGAGAACATTAGTAGCAAAGTGAGGACATGTAGCTGGTCCTCACTTTAGGACAATGTCACACAGCTCTACTGGTTAGTTTTAGAGTTATGGTCTGAACTACGGTAAGTTTTAGTTAAGGTTAGTTAAGGTTAGGAGTAGACTGTTTAGTTAGGGATGGGGTTAGGCACAATCCAGTCACCAAAATGAATGGGTCAGTGACTGTCCTCACAATGAATGCTACACTGGAGTGTGTGTGTGTGTGTGTGTGTTCTTAATCTTTACATGCTTTATACATATAGTAACTGATTGTATTTTAAATAAAACACTGCACATTTAATCATACTTCCCAGTGTGAGCAGTGAAACTCATTCTCCCGGGGATACTTTCATGACCTCTGGCTTACTCAGATCAGATGCTAATCTGCTTTCCACCAGCATCCTCCATCACTGTTTTCAAGACTCTAGAGACATACTGAAGCTCTTGATTGAATTTTCATAACACAGCTCAGCGGCATATTGTGGCGGCCCACAGAGCCAGCACTCACTGACTATTAATCCTGCTTTCAGTTCATTCACTGAATAGGTATGCTGCTGTTTGTGTGTCTGTGCATGGAGGGGAAAACATGGAGGCAGCAGTTTAAACATGCTCCTTTCTCTGACTGACAGGGCGAACTTTAGCCTCAGGTCGGTGGACTAAACCTTCCCACCTGAGCCTGAGCTACTTTTTTAATTACAGCACAGAAGGGGCTTGTGCTGCATGCGTGGCTGTGATTTATTTTAAAATAACTTTTAATCTATAATTCAAGTTTTAAAGGTGAATTATGTAATTTTATTGATGTAAAACAAGATAAAAAGATATAATTTCTGTGAACTATGAGATTGTTAAAAGCAAAGTGAAAAAGATTTAGTGTTTTTGTTTGTCAAGTAAATGAGGGACTGGATAAGCACGCTTGTTGCACAAGGGCGCTGCTTTAGAATGTCAGAACTGGGACATTTTATCTGCCTTCAAACAAGTTTATTTCTTGAAAAGCAACTTATTGATTTATTCCAAATTCATGCAGCTTTTTGATTTCTCCCATAATGAAAGCGAAATTATATTTATTGTGGGTCTTTTACTCAGTCTAAAACCATTTGTTAGGTCCTTGTTTTCTTTAAGCTGACCAAAGTTCTGTAAAGGCCACTGAGACTACAGACCGCATCAGCTGTCATAGACCCTAAACCCACGAGGTTAAGTGGTGCTACTCACTGTTCACTCGGCAACATCCCCTGCAATAAAATGTTCTCTTCTGTCCTTGATGGCAGGGCTGTTGCTAGCTATTTTGGTGCCCTAAGCACAAAGGCTTCGTGGTGCCCCCCCCCCCCCCCCCCCCACACACACACACACATACAGAAAAAACAACACAATAACACAGTATGTGCAAGCGCTTCACCTTAAATTTTCTTTAATTCTCTTGTATGCACAAACTGCTTATTATTTTCCAAAAAGTATGATTGATACTTAGTGTGTGTGTGTGTGTGTGTGTGTGTGTGGGGGGGGGGGGGTCATTTTGCCTTGGCCCCCAAAATGTCTTGAAACGGCCCTGGGTGTGTGACTGAGTTTTGATGGTGATCTGAATTGTATCAGATGTATAAATATGACATGTGTATAACTTATTGTTTTATACAGGTAAAAACGTGTAGTGGAGATAAATCTACCTACATTTTACTTTTCAACACTTTGTTTTGTTTTCTTGTTTTTATTTAACTATCTTCCTGTCCTGTCTGTCTCTCATCTTCCTGCATCTCCTCTAAACTCTCCAGAAAACCTGCTGCCTGGATCCTTACTTTTTCACCTCATCAGTTACTTCTGAGCAGACCAAAGGGATCTCCTGACCGCAAAGCGGAGAGTGCGATTCGATGCTGCATCAGTGAGGTGAAATCACCGCAGCACAGGTAATAAGACAGAAAGTCGAGAACATGAGCGGACATGAACGATCGTGTGTTAATTATAG